ACAACCTTTATACAAACTATATAAGATGATATGATATAGTAGATAATTAGATGCTTAATTAAAAATATATAATATGTATATATATATATACATATAGTAATAACAATGTGAATGTACAGATGCATCCGCATACGCTTGTAAAACACCACCTAACCCACATTGATAAATGGAGACGAAAACATGTTTGAAGTCATGAATCACAGTGACAGCAATGCATGCAGTTCCAGGCTGTATCCTACAGACACTATGCTGCAAACCCAAGCATTGTTCTCCTCCCTTGTCCAAATATTTGCAACATTTTTCGGCCTCCCGCTTGTATTATGGGTGTACCTCTTCATTGTGAAGTTGTCTTATCTCCTGCTTTAGTTTATTTTCTGGTCCACTGCTTCATATGAAACTAAGACTTGTATTAATTCTGAGAATGTGAGACCTGAGTGTGGAAAAACAAACATTTCTTATAGACAAAGATAACTTCATTTCCAATGGTTTAACCTTTTTTCTTTAGAGGCAAAAATTTGCCTCGAAATTTTGTTAATGAAAGTGTCTAAGGTTCGCGTCAACTAACCCACCTCCCTCAAAAGCCAACTTTTCCAAAAGTTTTTTCAGGGAAGCTCTGCCAACTAGCACTCTACCAACCACAACATACACATCATATAAGCAGCCATTAGAGCAATGTGAGATACCTGGTGAATGGAATCCTCCAAAGGATTTAAACAAAAATACCAATCTTGTGGAAACAATTGCAGCTGTTAACTCACAGAAAAGTCAGAACCAGCCAAATCTGGATTATGCACCATGCATTTTGCCCATATCTGCTGTGGCACTTTATAAATACTGTATAATAATAATAATATCTGTAGTGACAGACAAACCTCAATTGCCACAGTGGAAAGACTGTAAAGCTGATCCTATAAGCAAAGAGGCCTTTAACCACCTCCCGACCGGCCGTTGTATATAAACGGCCTGACGGTGGCACTGCAGGGTCAGGTGGCCGTTTGCAAGCGGCCTCCCCACACTCTGCTTGTGCGCGCTCCCCGGGACACAGTGAAACACCGATCGTAGGACGGGACCTCTGTACGAGGTCCCGATCATGTGATCACTGATTGGCCAATCAGTGATCACATGCAAAGTAGTAAGCAAGATGTCACTTGTGACATCATTGCTTACGTGTGAAATCTGTGAATGATCACAGAGGTCACATGGCACAAGGCTATTCACAACAGCCTTGTACCATGTGACAAGCTGTGACCAATCACAGCTCACTCAGTAGTTCTCAATGGCTGCAAGAATGCAGACAGAGAGAAAGAGAAATTATTGCTTTTACATCCTATATGGGTGTAAAAGCAATCAGTGTAAAAAAAAAAAAATCTCATCATCCCCCCCCCCCCCCCCAAACGTAGTATAGTGTCACCATGGTGACACTGTACTGCTAGGGTGACAGTATGTAAAAAAAAAAAATACAAAAAAAATTAAAATGGAAAAAAAAATGTTTAAAAATTATAATTTTTGGTTAGAAACTAATTTGGCTTATTTTTTTTTTTTTTACTAAAAAGATAACGGAATCAATTTTGGCCAAGATTTGTGATGAAATATTATTTATTTGCAAAATTTTATAAGAAACACTTTTTTTTCAACATTTTTGGACTTTTTCATTTACATAGCAAAAAAAAATAAAAATCCCAGCAGTGAATAAATACCACCAAAATAAAGTTTTATCTGTCTCAAAAAAAATGGTAAAAAATTCATATGGGTACAGTGTTGCATGACCGCGCAATTGTCATTCAAAGTATGATAGTGCTGAAAGCTGAAAATTGCCCTGGTCAGGAAGGGGGTAAAAGTGTCCAGACTGGAAGTAGTTAATGTGTGCTCACCAAAACAAAGCGAGATGAAGCCCAAAATGCTACAGTTGTTAACAGAAAGAAAATGAGAGTAGATTTTAATTTTGTAGATCCCCTCACATGTCACTGATAATACTGAGAGACTACCATAGCTAGCTTATCATTTTGCAAATGCTAGCTGTTTGGCTGGTATGCTGACCTTTTGGCTTCAATACTTTGAGACACAAACCCAGAATAACCCAGGGAATTAATTTGCTGAACAGTCTGCTGCAGGTAATATGGGGCTTGGAAACACTGTGCCAACACCACAAAAGTGAACCTTTAGCACTAATCATTCTCAACAGCTAGCTCCTGGGTTAGATTTAGGGAAAAGAGCTCCTTGTGTTCTGGGTTAGTCTCCCAGCCCCACATTACCTACAACAAAATGTTCAGTAAATTATTCCCGTTGGCTGGCTCAGCTCCCTGCTTTCTCTCAGACGTGCCAGCAGGCAACTGAGCATTTAGAATAGACTACTGGGGACAGTGGGGGATCAATACTTCACTTGGGTATGGCTAATAAACGTCCTAGCTAAGACGTAAAAGCGGAATATGAAATGAAACCAGGGTGTTAGGTCATAGAACTGATAATTTTGCATAAAAGAATGTTTACTGAATAAAACAAATATGATCTCAGACACTTGCCACATTCATTACTTTATAAATTAAAAGGCTGACAACACCAGTACAATCCTTCTTTTCAGGAAAGGCTGACAACACCAGTACAATGATCTATGTGAATGGTAACAGCAGACCACGCCATTCAATGCAGTAGGCCTTATTACATTAACCTTTCTTAAATATAAATATGCAGTATTTGTCATCGACTCCAGTGCTGATGGAGAGGGGCAAACAAGGATGCTGTACAGATGCCCAATGTCCTCATCGCCTGATGACATCATTGGATGTTAGGAAGCTGGCGGCTGGAAGGTTGTAATGATGCACTATGAAAACCTGTGGCTTTGTGCAACAAAAGGCAGGTTTCATCCATCCGTTGGCTTGTATACAATTTTTGGGCAATTTTTAGGCATTTTGCTAAGGCACCCCTGAAGAAGCCTGAAGGCACCCTGGTTGAAAAAGACTGATCTAATGAAGCAGTATTGCAGACGTTTTATTTACTTTTATAAAAAAAATACACAAACATCCTTTATTCTACAAAAATGTTTTATTACATTTCATTTTAATTGAATGCATTTGCTAAGAAAAATGTAATATGAACTTTTAAAAGCAACAGATTAAACTGTGTACTTAGCCACATACCAGCTCCAGAACAAAGACCCACAACATAGGTTCTGCTACATTGTCCCTGGGCTAGCACTTAGCACATGAATGACTGCGGCTTTATTTTTACAAATCATAAAATTACCAAATAAATTACAGGAGCATACAAATTTTGATACATCCAATTAAAGCCAAAGTCCACATTTCCTTTCATTTTAAAAAGGTAATTTGGGCCAAACTGGCCCACACAAACTATTTCCAAAACCAAGTTGTTCTACTGCTGTGAGAGCTTTCTCATACTGTTGTAGCATCATCTACACTATGCAGCGCTGTGTTCCAGCAGCATCTCTGGTGAATTACCATATGCTGCCAGAACAAAATTGAGCTAGGATGAGTGCTTCTCAGCTATTCAGGAAGCCTTGTATTTTTATCAATGAAAATAATTCTGACTGGCTGAGGTGGAAAATGCGATGTCGCTCACCTGCCTCTTCACCTCGGTCAATCACCACAAGGCATGTATTCATTAAGAAAAATAGAAAGCCTTGGTGGCAAGCCATCTTGGTACAACCCTTTTGCTGTATATGCTTGTGAGGGTCTGCAGACCCGCTTTTTAAATGTGAGTAGCTCTCTATTTCTGTTTTATCTGAATAAATGTGGATATACTACACTATGGGAAGGCCTCTCTTATTTATCTTTTGAGTATTGCACCAATTGGATAGAGATTCCAAAAAGAGTCTCGTAAGGGATTTTCACTGGAAGAGATCCATTTGCAGATTGATTGATCAAAAGCGCATGAGACCTATTTAACCCACAGGTCTAATCTTAAGGTGAGTGTGCACGCTAACTGTTGGAGGAGCACATTAGTTTCATCCTGGAATATCACGGGTGGACGGATTGATATTTGGAGAAATTGTTTTCACCAAGAGACTATTTTCAATTCACGTTGTAGTTAATTTATACTTTAAGTGAAACACAATTCATGTGCGCTTTATCGGTATTTATTAATATATTTTATTACCTTTTATTATATTTGATCATTTATCATTTCCCACTTTATATTACGGCGGTCCGCCGGTTGTTTACTATTTTATTCACATCATATTTATAGGTGGAAGTAGATCTTTAGCTCCACTTTTTACAACTCAATTTTTTTGGTGGATAGTGGGGTTTTCTTTTATTGTTCTTTAATTATAATTTATATATTGGTCAGACACTTAGCTGGGTGTTTACTTACCTTTACACATCTTTGCATTATATTTCTCTTTTATATTTTTAAGTGTGGTCCACTAACATTTATCCTTATTTGTTCATTTTGTACTATTGTGGTTTACTCTGTGGTTAGCACGACACTCACGGGTGTTTACTATTGATTTTTGGTTATATATTCCTATTTATGAAGGCACATTTCTTTATATTATCAGATTATTTGGGAGGTAATTCTATTTCTTTTTGATTTATTTCACACGCACTCAGCTGGGTGTTCACTATTGAGTAGCACAAGCATTTTTTTTATTTAATTTGTATTGTGGGAACACAATTAGGTGCTTGCAGCCACTCATTGCATTTTGGGTTAGGTTGTGGCAGTGCATGAGGAAGCATTGCACTGGCTTTATATGGAAATAACTTGTTTGGGCCAGCTTAGCCCAAACATACTATTTAAGGTGCATAGAAACATGGACTTCAGTTTTAAGCTAGTTATAGACAACGAATTTGACTGAGAGGTAAGGATCATGCATATAAAGTAAATAATGATTATCTAACATGGCTTATAAAATTGCTCTAACTTTATCCTTAGTATTCTGAATGCATAGGTTGGACCCTTACTAGTGCATGTAAAACTGAAATAAACAAGGCAAGATATTAAATGTCATGCTGTGGAAGGTGAGCATTTGATGCATCTTGATTTTAGATCCAGGGCTCCCACCCTTTCCAAGTTCTGCCAAGGATGTTAGGATCTGTTGCCTGATCAATTAGGCACTTCACTTGCATTTCTTCATCAAGTCCTTCAGCTTCTGTGCTTGCCCTGATATTATATTCTTCCTCTCCCTTTGCAACAGTCAGGAAACCTTTGTAAAACTGAGACGTTTCATGTCCCAAACGCAATTCTTCACTGCAAAATACAACAAACATGTCAAAGAACAATAGGACAAACTACATGAATAGTGGTACTTATTTTTTATTTTTTAATAACATGGGCTTGGAACTACTGAAATTTCTTATCAATAGAAAAAAGATAAAACTTGTCCATTTAGAGACAGAAAATAAATAAGACTAAAGAGAAACTCATACCATATATGGATAGTAATGAATACAGAGCGGAATCTGATAAATTGAGACTACTGTTAGAAAAAACAGAAAGAGACCAGAGAACCAAAAAGAAGAAAAAATACATGAGAGATTTAAACGATTATAAAGAGAAAGAGGTATTTAAATGGGAAACTACCAGATACGATTTCTCCAATAACGCACACAAGGAAATTGTTACCACACAATCCGCGGGTAACCCTAGATTTAGAACCAATAGCGAAAGGAGAAACTCTACCAGACCTCCAAATACCCCTAGGTCGGATTACCGCCAACCCCATGATGATATGTATAAGTCTTCACCTAATATATCCACAAGAAATAGATTTGCACTCTTGGCAAAATACCTATAGCTTGTCCATTGGATATAGAGACATGAGAATGCACCCCTTAAATAATAATAGGCCGCATCAGAATAATAACCATAGATCCAATAACCACAATTCAGGTAAACCTCAGTTCAGACCAATACAATCTTTCAAAGGCAATAAAGGGAGACATCAGGGAGATTTTGATAGATACCCAGATGAACAGTGGCGGGATTATCATCAATACCACGCCAATCGCCCTTACAATCAAACTCCCTCTAGGAACAAACATCCTAACCCAGCCAACTCAAGAATGAGGGGCCCACCACACAACAACACATACCCTCAAAATAACGAGTCTCCACACCGTAATCCTAATTATGATCATACTGGGCGACCTTATGGGGATTATCAATACAAACCCCAAGCCCATTCTGATCAACAGGATCATTTTTTAGGGAGAGGCCCGATGTACAAACGAAGCCTAAGACCAGAGGGAAGAAGAGGAGGAAAGAGGTGTAACAGACAAAAAACGAAGGACCTAAACAAGGAGGGAATTTTTAATTTGAGCAGTAAAACTCTAACCGACAAAGAGCTTGTTCTACTAAAAAAGGGCTTAAAATCTGCTCCAACTGCTAATCTCAATAAATTTAATACATATTACATTTATTGATATACACAAGTTCTCACGTAGATTAGCTTTGAAAAGATATTTTTTAAGCAATCCACCCTCACGACAAATTACTAATCAAGGTCAGATAAGTGTAAAATCATTGCACCTGAAAAATGCCTCTCTCTTCAATCCCCCGGCTCACTCCCATATTAACATCTTTGAAAACATGGTATTGAGAGATTTAGAGAAACTGAAGATAAAAAACTGGGATTCACAAAGTCCTAGGGAAATGGACAAATTAATGGTCAATCTACTAAAAGAAAAAGACCTTGTCATCCGCCCAGCGGACAAAGGTGGGGGGTAGTAGTATTAGATAAGAATGATTATCTGTCACAGGTTTATGATATACTGACAGATAAGAACACATACGCTGTTTTACATATCAATCCTCTTATCCCCTACAAAAAAATACTCAAAGGTATTCTTAAAAGGGGCTATGATGCAGGCATATTAAATAAAAAGGAGAAAGATTACCTGTGCCCTACAGCCCCGAAACAACCAGTTTTTTATAGTTTACCAAAAGTACACAAAAACCCGGTTAAACCTCCAGGCAGGCCCATAGTGAGCGGTATAGGCTCTCTCACCTCACGAATAGGTGAATATATAGATCATTTTTTGCAGCCACTTGTTAGCAACACCCTGGCTTTCCTCAAAGATACGAAACAAGTGCTAATTGATCTGAAAGATATAAATTTACAGCACCCTACTTTCTTGGTGACAGCCGATGTGGCCTCTCTGTATAGTAATATTAAGCACACCGATGGAATGCTTGCAGCAGAATTCTATTTGGACATGGCAGAGGATATCCCTATTCCACAAAAGAAATTTATTAGAATTATTATTTGGAATTATTAGAATTCGCAATGAGCCATAATTACTTCTGGTTTGGAGAGAAATATTACCTACAAACTACTGGCGTTGCCATGGGGGCAAAATTTGCCCCCAACTTAGCCAACTTGTTTATGGCAAGTTGGGAGGAGGATTTAATCTTATCTAGAGACTGGCCTGACCTCATATTTTATTGGCGCTATATTGATGATATCCTGCTCTTGTGGAAAGGAGATGAATTCTCCTTGACTAATTTTTTTACCACTCCTAATCACAACAACCTTAATATTAAACTGACCTATGAACATAGTTATTATGAAATAAACCTTTTAGATTTAATACTTTTTAATGAAGGTACAAGAATTTTAACTAAAAGTTATTTTAAAGCTACAGATAGGAACAGTTTTATTCCGAAGGATAGTTCACCCCAGGTGGTTAAATGGGATTCCAAAAGGGCAATTTCTGCGGATTCGCAGAAACTGTGACAGAATGGATGATATTACCCAAGCAGATACTCTTAAACAACGTTTTGTGGAGAAAGGCTACGATGCCAGCATCTTAGATATAGAGATTCATGAGGTGGGCAATTTAAATAGAGATGATCTCCTTGCCCCTAAAGATAATTCTAAGGGTGACAGATTCTGCCCTTTTATTACCAATTTTTCAATTCATTATAAAAAAAGTATCAAGAATTATTAAGAAAAATTGGTCCATTCTCAAAAATGACCCTGTATTGGAAGAGGCTTTACCAGATATCCCGGAAATTACGTTTAGAAAAGCCCTCCCCTTGAGGAATACTTTGGCGCCCAATATTGTTAATCCACCAAAGCAACTCTCTTTGATTTCAACCATAAAGGTTTTTATCCTTGTAATCGCTGTATGCTTTGTGTTCATAACGGGATTCACAAGAAACCTGTTAAAGAGTTTCCGCTCCAATGTTACCGGAAAGTCTTACGATATACAAACAGTGATCACACGTTACAGCACACATGTATATTTACTTGAGTGTGCTTGTGGGAAACAATATATTGGCAGAACCACCAGGCGATTAAGAGACAGGCTCAGAGAACACTTAACCAATATTAAAAAAGGATATAAGGAACATTCGGTCTCAATGCATTTCCGTGATTTTCATAATAAAAATCCACACTGTCTCAAATTCACTGGAATAGATATAGTAACCAAACATTGGAGAGGTACCTTTAAACGCCAGTCAGTCTCAAAAATTCACAACCAGTTTGTTTAACGGATTTTATTGTAAATTTTAATATGTATTTTCTAGTATTAGAATTGTGTGCAGTTAAACATATTGGTCTGCTCTGTTCCATCATCCTTTTTAGCTACCATACATACAATTATTACCAAGGTAGTAATATTCCGGGTCCTTTTTTCACTTCAACAGTTTAGTTTATTCCTAACGTCATATATTATTATGATTTACGGTGACCTGGTTTTATTTCGTATTTTTTTTAAATATTTTTATTGGTCATTCTAGGCATTTTATCAAATTTTTGGTTCATATTTTTACTATGGAATATTTGTATCGAGGCACGATATCTATCTTTCCGTACATTTCTCTGGTCATATATTATTTATTATATTTATATGTATTTTAAATATACATTTTTAATAAGAATTTTTATTATTTTTGGTACATATTAAGGTTTTTTTCCCTCTCACTAATTTTATTAGGAATATTTCTTTTTACAATGACTGCCATGTCTTGATATATATATATTTCTTAAAAGTTTTTAATGTCTTGTACACTAGATGTTGTTAATATAGTTTTATTCTGTTGCTAATTATTCTGACATTTACAGTTTCACTGCACATGCCACAAAGATTCGATGTTTCTGGCACTTGTGGTTCCACTACTCTTGCCAATAAACATTTCCATCAATTCATAGTTCTATTCCAGAGTTGCACAATCTGTTACTGGATTGTGTGCACCCCATTCTGACTCCATATATATGTGAGCACTGATGATATACTGCATAAGAGCGATATATACGTATAATATTAATTAAGAAGTAGAGAGGTAGGTTTCCTATTCCTCTCTATGAAGCCAGGATGTCCCCAATACAAGTCTATGTAAAGACTAGACTTTTAGAAAATGGCCGCCGCCGCTCGTGCGATCTGCGCATGCGCGCACGGATGGCAGCGACGTCTCTATCCCTAATACAAGTCTATGCAGAGACTAAACTTCTAGAAAATGACCAACGCTCGCGTGATCTGCGCATGCGCGAACAGACAGCAGCGACATCACGGTCCAACTCTGCGCATGTGCGAGCTGTAGTATATAAGAGCTGTCACTGAGGGAGGCACGCTTCCTTTGAGAACGTGCTTTCGCACAAAACATGTCAGGAATCTGCCCTCAGTGACATACCACGTGGCTTTACTTATATGGCCAGCGGCCATCTTTAACATTGCACATATAGAGTGTAAGTTTTATTCCTTTATTATTGATATACCTCAATTGTAATTAAGCAGTTTTGCACTATGGAATTCTTTGTGCTTGGGCTCATTTTGTTATGAGCCTTCCCTTTCAAGGAGACCATTGATGACATCCACAAGTGTTGGCTCCCCCTGGTGTTCTTGGATTGCACTCCTGGTACCTGGAAGCCCTGCTCGTATGCTGTAATTCCTGCTGATGTCCACCAGATGACCCGGATTTCTAGATGCAGATGACCAGGAGTTGGTCTAATCACGCCAATGCGCTTAATTTTGCGCTATCTGGTTAGTGCAATCTACACTTATTCACCATACCACTAATGTCACGGTTGCCAACTGGCTATTGATGATTGACAGATATTTCACTATATGCACTTATACTAACCCAGTGTGATGTGTAGCATCTTATCCAATCACAAAGAACTGTAGTAATACTTTTTGGGTTATTTCATCTACCCAAGAGACGTTAACAATTTATGACCTACTACTAAGGTCACACTTGGAATTTCTAACACTGTATATTTTAGCGCTGCATGTCGTTTATAT